CGATGTTACGCCGTTTAGCCAATCCCATAATCGCACATTCACCCCGACATTTCGCACAAAACACCGGGGTTCACAAAATTTAAAGTGTGTTTGATGATATAGTTACATTAAGTAATGCTTTTAGTTGTATAGGTGTATTAACAATCGAAGTAATTAAAGTGAAAAAAAAAATTCTATACTCTTTTAATGTTTAGGTTAAGAAAATGTAATTATCGGTCAAATTAATAATGATAATCATCATTAGGGCCCGGATTTTTATGCAAATGCATATTCTTCTACAATTTACCTAGAATAATTTTGATTATAAATGTCGACGTTTCGTCAAGGGTTAATTTTTTTTTTCATATTTTTGCATAATTGAATGAAAATACATATTTATTGCATATTTCTTTATAGTTGTATAAATGTTGCATATTCTACAGTTCGTAGAATTTACATCTGTAAAGATGCCTACTGTCGATTGTAAATAACCCATTATACATTGATAAGCGATCGTCAATCGACATCATCATTATCGACAGCCGATGAATGACGACAAATATTGGATATTTCATAATAATGAGTTAAAAAATGAGCTCGGCGTTATTATAACACACTTTCAGTGTTTAATAGATACAATAACAAAATTAGAGAAATCAAATGTTACTTTAAGAGATAGTTTATTGCTAATAGAAAATATTAAAATTAAATTCGAAGAAGGAGGGGCAGTGATAGATTTCGCTAGATCTAAATTTACAAATGTGTTGTCGAAAAACCGTGGATATTCTACATTGGAAAAATTCGATGATATAATCAACAGCGAGGTAACTTAATGCGATGAAGATGAGGAACTGTCAGTTAAAGATTTATTGAGTTTTAAATATGCACCAATTGTATCTTGTGACGTGGAAAGAAGTTTTTCCAAACACAAAAGTATGCTTCGAGATAATCGTAGGAGTTTTCAATTCGAAAACTTGAAATTCATATTTATTATTTCATGTTGGTACTCGTCCAATAATAATAATTTAATATAAATAGTAATACTTTAATTAATTTATAATACTTTTATATTTACACAATATCATTAAAAATGTTATTTTGCATTTTTTTTTTAATAAACAATTTTTAAACATAAAATATTGTTAATTTTTACAAAAAAAAACATTTTGCATATTTTTTGTATATTTTATAGATTTTTATGGCATAAAAATCCGGACCCTAATCATCATTGTTATTGAGAATACGTTGGTAAATAGACGGGATATGTAAACTCTATATTGTATGCAAAATACATATTTCAATAATCAATACATTTTTAAAATATCAATCACAATAAAATTACTTACAACACATAAAAATAAAAATAAAGTATACTGAATATTTGATAACAACGAATTTGACGTGGTACTCAGTCTTTCAACTTTCGAGTAATACAAAAAGTCCTTATTCTGATAACTTTTAGCTCAATTTTTTACAAAACTTATCGGATTTAAATAAGTCTTCAAACGAATTGTCTTACCATTTCTTAAAAAATAATAATAGTTTATTTATGTTCATAAATACAATATTTACATTTTAATTTAATTTCTCATTTTAGGCTATTTTTTAATAGCTAATAAACAATTAGATTTTGTTTTGAACCAACAGATTGTGCTTTGAATTAAAATGTATATATCAAATGAAAAATTCAAAATAAATGTACCTACTAAAACATATATGTTTTATATATTTATTGAATTGATAGAAAAATGTAGTTTTGAGATTTTTTACTCCTCATCCAAAGTAATCACTTGATTTTAAAAACACTAATACCACAAAGGGAACCTGAATATAGACGATAGAAATACAATTTACAGACATAAGATTACATAATATTTGATTTTAGATTCCCAGAGACGAAACTATTCATTAAATAATGATATATGTTTTTATGTCTGTGTATACGTTGTAGAATAAAAGGAATGCTTCGAAAGTTACATAAAGCTTTTATATCGATTGGAAATCAAATACAGATAATACATCAAACTATACTATAGTGGTTTCCAAAAAAATTCCATTTAAAAACTACGTAACATAAAACAGTGAAATTTACTACAAATTTTATACTGTTTATCTTGTTATAACTAAGTAATTGATAATATTAGATATTTAAAATAATGAATAATTATTAAATTTTATAATTTTTTTGATATAAAAGAACAATGTTTTTACTATAATTATTCAGAAAAAAATAAGTTACCGACTTATTAGTTATAATTAAAATTTGATGAAATATGAAATCTTGATAATAATAGTCGTCAGTTATGGAATACGAAATTTCAAAATGTAAGACAAATAGAGTCAGTTAATAATAAAATAACAAGAAATTTAATTAAAATAAAAAAATGATTAAACGGTGATACTCGTAAATTAGTATTTAAATAAATAAACAAATAGTTTACATATAGAAATAAATAAATAGAAGCTAGAGAAGTATTATCATATTTATAAAATACGATCGATTTTGAATCAAAAATTCATTGTTAGGTATGTGTAAAGTCAACAAAATCGTGACTGAATATGAAAAAAATAATGGAAGGAATACATTGAGAAAATTAGTCATTTTACAAAGAGATAATGTATATTAATAGGAAAGATAATTTGAGCTCTTTTTGGACATGGATATCTTAAGAAATATAAATACTTTGGTTGTTATTATTTATTATAATTATCTAAAATGTATAAATTATTATTCTATATTTCATTGTGTATGTGTTACTCTTTTAAAACTGAATTAATGTAAATGTTGTTTTGGGTGTTTCATATTTCTATACCTGTGTTGATATCAAAATAATATCGCTATCAATATTTTCAAACTCTCAAAGCATTGTTTCAAGGAGACAAACAGTTAATTTTGGAAACAAATACAAATAATAGCGATGATAATAAAATATATTAATGGATAGATTAACTGAGTTACAGTGGTTTGCTATTGTTTTTGATCATCATTCATTAGCTAAAACTGTGTGTCTAAAATAATAGTAATAATATTCTATAGTAATAGTTATTCTACTAGATACGAAAGAGAATATCGGGTAAACATTTTGAATTTAATAAAAATCAATAAGGTAAAATTGAATGTAAATAATACAAATGCATATCTATCTCTATGCGTTTTTCTATATATCATGTACGCTAAAATAATCTAGGATTTAAACAGATCCTAAAATAAATAATTAATTTCAATATTTTGTTCGTAGAAATACAATTAAGACAAAAACTATTAGTAGTTAAATATAACAAAAAAAAAAAAATGTCATAAAATACCATTAAAAATTAGATAATGTTGTTAATTGGAACTAGAAAATGTTTATATTGATAAGAAATAAGATGAAATCCACTGTTCTTGAATAATAAATCACATGACATAAAATTATATAATATTTTTATAAGTTTATATTGTTATTTTATTATTATTATTATGATTTTTATTAATCATAGCTTCGATAATAAGGGCTGTTAACAGTTTTTTGCTGTTTAAAATGTTGTATTTTTCTTATATTATTGTTATTGTTAAGAAAGTAATGATAAATTAATGAACTTAAATATCGACTATAAACAAAATTTAATATTATTACTACCAAAAATATTTCATTTATAGTAATAAAAATATGCAACATTTCCATCTGGATTGTAGAATATTTTAAGTTTAGTTTATAATATTATATATTAATATCTTGGTACAATATAATATAGAATTATTTTATATAATAGTTTTCTCGTCCCATCGTCCATAAGAAATAATAATAAAATCAACTTGCTATGTGCAAACAATTCTAGTTTTTCTTACTGGTATTTTTTCCTCCGCATTTATTATAAAACTGTAAATTACACGATAACTTTGTTTTTTTTTTTTAATTATAATTATAATTATAATTTATGTCTTCATAGTTTTTGTAAAACTTATTGTTGGTAGCTATATAGATCATATATTTTAATATAAAAACCTAATGAAATAAATATGTATATAAGTAGAGTACAAAAATTACTTACAATTTATATGTTATAGTTTTATAAATTTATCGTATGATAATTAATAAATATGGTACTGGGTATTTAAATACCTATATAAATATCTATTATTGTAGAATGAAATACCAAGGTTAAATCATAACTCATATTATTTATTTTCAACTTATGATTTTAATTAGTCGCTGAACCAATAAATGTAATTAACTAATTTATATTTTCTTATTATTTATATCAATAATATTGAAATAATGTTTCTAGTAATAAGGTGAGATGATATTTTCATTATTATATATAGGTATTTAAATATTTGATATTTAACATTTCATCTGAATTTTCGAATCCAGATTTGAATAATCAGTTTTTAATAACGTTAAATGTTACACATAACAATATTATTATTTATCAATTATGTGATTATTAATCGGAAAAATATTATCTACTGGATTTTGAGAGTTTAAAAAATCATAGGCTTTAAATGATTTGGAGAAAATATCATATACACTTATTAAACTAAGGAATTATTGTTTTTATTGGGAATGAATAAAGTCCTATCAAAAACAAATAATTGTGTTGAATAAAATTTATTTTAGAAAACTCCCCTGTACGAGTATCATCATTACATAATAAATATACTAAAGGTCGTATATTATTATGATTGAGACATAAATTATTATATGATTGTTACATATTTTGGACGTAGAGTGAAGGTAAAAGGGTACTTACTTAGTTACCTCTCTAAGCATATCCTAATCGTTTTACATCGTTCGGAGATAATTATAATCCTACAGATTCTATAACAGCGTCATCATATTTAAACGAAAGGTAGGTACGTTCGTTACTTAGGACCACTACCCGTATAAATATTGAATGATCTAAGATTAAAACACTATCGCTACGGTATCCTTTTGGTAAAAATATATTATAAATCAGGCATGTTTTCCGTTTAATTATACTTGAAACCTCTTTGCGCTCGAGCATCACTTGTAAAGTAGGTGAAATATTTCACTTACCTGTAGCGTTTCTACTACGATGGTCAATGTACCATCTGAGACCTTTGACATGCTACCCCTTTTTTCTTCCAAACGAATCATCGAGGACGACGTGTCTGACGAACCATTTGCAGATTGACCGACAGCATAGCGTTGATTTTTTTTTAACAGATACCATTCAATCGTGGCCAGTGGCCGCGATCCTTTTGACTGACACTCGGCTCGATACATCCGGTTAGCTCTTATCATATACTTCTTATGGCCTGTTGCATCTTCCGTCACGACCACTTCATTTTTGTCAAAAATATGATTCCCTTCAGTTTTTGAATGATTTTCGCTCTTTCCTCTTATTGATACGATTTGCACTTCAGTAGGTTTCACTGCAAAAGGAAGTTAAATTTTAGCAAAGTAAAGAATAATTATTTATTATTTGAACACTCATGAACCGAAACATATATGTAGTTATAATTTAGTTTATTAAAAATATGATAAACGCTAAGTACCTGTTTTGCAATCAAAACTAAACAAATTTATAATATAAATATTATATAAATATTATATATAAATATTATATAAATATTTTATAATTTAATTGAATATTTAATGACGTAGAAAGGATATAGACTAGTAAATTATTATGTGTTTTGTTGATCATAGAGTAAATCTTGAAAATTCTTGAATTTATCTCAAGCAGATGAAAAAATTTCCTTTTTAAATTTAAATCACTGGCAAAAAAGACAAAAATCTTAATCTAATACATTTTTAATCCTCGATATTAACAAACAAGAAAAATAGTTGGTGAGGTTAGTATCTTGTTTGAGAAAAATTAGTTTATTAATAGCTCTTTTAATAAAAATTATTTCGAATTTGTACTAATTTATTTTTTTATTTATTTAGTTTCTCATTGTGCAATAGTAATTAGATAAAACTTTCTATAATACTAAATAATATATGTATAAACGGCATGCAAAAGATTAATTGTGTAGAACATATTAGCAAAACAATAATTAAACTATAATAGTACCGTTCATTTACATTGGATGCAAAGAGAATTCGAGTATTAGTGATATTATAGATTCTCATTTAAATTAATTTAAATTTCCAAATATGATTTCAAAAGTCAGTGCCCAACCATTGGGTGTTATTTTACATCTAGGTTTAATAATTAAAACTGATAATTATTATCAGTGCTCTCGTTGCTTGAGAAAACACTTTGTCGTTAATATATGAAATAATAACATAACGTGATTGTTGTTTTAATAAAAAAGTTGACTGTAACTTAGTTTTGTAACGAGATTATAACCAACTAAGCAAAAATAATCAAAATAGTCTTATAATGAGAAGCCAACACTGGGTAATATTTACTAGTTCATTTAAATTTGATTTACAGGCCTGGAAAGAAGTTTGTTTAAACTTCAAGTAGGCATGACTACCGAAATTAAATGAACGCTAAATATAATTTATGAATAACGCAGAACTGTAGAAAGTTGCGTGCAATAATAAAGTTATTGTTTATCAATGTACGAGTAATAATTGTAGGCAGATAAATATAAGAAATGTTTCTAATGTTTACATTATACATAATAGTAAAACTGATATAAGCTAATCAGTGAAACACTTTTTTTGTTGATTCCTCGAATTTGATTGTAAATAGATGATTTGACTAGCATTAATTATTATTATAATTTAATGTAATTATTAACTTGAAACCTAAAACATTTTAAATTTACTATTAGAACCGAATGGAATTAAAACCTTATTCTCTATTTTTTAATAAAAAAATATTCACGATATTAAATTTTTTTTAAAGCTGAATTAACGTTATTTTATTTTAATATAGATTCTTAGTTTTTTAAAATTTGCGTTACTTTCTATTGTTTTTTGTGCTATCGATGTAATTTGTATTGTAAATTAAGTGTTGCTTCATCGATGTTAGATAAATGTATATCTCTTATTATCTTAGTTTTCTCTTCTAATAGATCGGAGTATAATTTCGAATTTGGATTTTTAAGATTCCATCCATATATTTAGTTTTTTTTGGCATTTGTTTGTCTGATTGATAATTTGATGATTATCGGTAGATGATTGTTGCTGTATACTTAATTTAATACTTCCCACTCAAGTCTTTGAGAAATGGAGGGTGTACTCAGTGAAAGATTTATGTTTGAAATTTTACCATTGGCTATATGGTAAAATATATTATATGGGTAGGGGATGTATCGTTTAACAAAATAAGATTTTGGATCGTCATTAATTTTTTTATTAAATGGCCTCTATGTTCTGTTGTATTAGAGCCCCATGGTATGTGTTGTGGGCAGTAAAATTAGCCACAATCATATATAGTTTGGGTAATTGTTTTGTGATATCTTCTAGATCAGAGAAATTGATATTTGTTTGGTTTGGGAGATAGATATTACATATAGTACATTTTCCTTTGAGATCAGTCGTTAACGCTATTATTTCTAAGTTACTTGAAATTACTTCGTGAGGTCTAAATTAATAGTTTAGAGTAGGTGTAGCTAATTTTTAATTTGTGAGTCATCAAAATAATCAAAACCAAATAACAGGTTCATTGAATATTATTATTAAACAAGTATTTTACGATTATAATTTAACTTCAGTACATTTATATAACGTATATTTGTAGTTTTCACTGTTAGTTTTTATTTTAAAACATGTTAACTTTTTTGACCATGAATTATTGAATATCAATTATTTTAAATTATTAAAATTATTATTTAATTTTATATGATTTAGAATAATTACATTTTTTTCAGATTATTAATTTACGGATAAATATAAGATTTAATACTTAAACAAATACTTTAACAACTTTTCTAGTTACATTTAAAATATATTTTGTGAAAATAATCGATTTGAGCCGATAACCTATCATTGTTTTATGGACATAAAGTCGTACCGATAGTAAAGATACAAAATAATAAAAAAATGTCTAAGTTCAAATTAAATTCTATATTGAAATATAGTAATACAGTTAAATGTATGATTTTATGACTTGTTTACACATGTCAGTCACCATGTGTACATATCAATTCTAAATAATAGGTATGGAACTTTTACAGAAGTTTAATATCATAAGGTACTATACTGATATTATGTAAAATCTCAACAATACAATAAAAACACATAACAATTCTAACATAATCGGAAATATATGGAACATTTATATATATATATATATATATATTAAGTTTTTTTTTTACTCTTATATAAAAAAAAATGAACACAGTACCTATAATAAGTAATAATATATAATATATAATAATATATATATATATATATATAATATATACTTATATTTAAGCATATGTTAAGTAAAATTAATTTTACAATTGCTCTCTGTTAAACAGTTTATTAAAATAAACATTTATATTCTCGAAATTTAAACATTTGTAATATAAAAAATAAAAATTACATAATTTGATTAAACTTTTACCTAGGTAACTATAACATTCAAAATATCTGAATGCTGTAATAAATTTTGTCGTAGATACTTATTATAATGATACATATTATCTAACTATATTCGTTGTTCATTAATAATTTATCAATATCTGATGTGTTTAACATCTCAAACTAATAAATTTATATAATTTATATATATTTTTATTAGCGATTAATATTAATATTTTTTTTATATACATCACAAAAAATTGATTTTTTTGATTTATTTTATTTTACCGTAATGTTTACTTGTAATTTTTATTTTAGTCTAAACCTGTAACTATTTTTTTAATCATTCGACAATTAGTTTAATTAATTTGTTTTTTAATCATATCACATGTTAATTTAATGATTTGTCATTAATTTAATAATCGTCTTATGTTATTAGTTTTAAAACATTTCAAACTACGACGGAAGGTCGGAATCCTGGTAATCCTGGTTAGTAATCAACCTTTTGCATTGTAAATGTTTATTCTAAATTATATCTGCTGTACTTAAAGACACCGAATAATAATTTGCGGTCATTTTAAAATGTAAGAGTATGAGTGGTATTTATTTTTTTCCTCTTATTTTTCAACTAAATTGTATGCGTGATAGAAATTAAATTTTTTCATCAAGCAAAAATGAAAATAAATTACAAAATATTTGTATATATTGCGAAAACGAACAGAAATAATCAGTCTTACCATCTACATTTACTGACTTCATATTATTTTAAATATGTTTGTCTTTTTTATAACGTCATTATAGTCTCCTATTACCATTAACTATAGTTAACCTAAATATTATTATTATGCGAGTATATTATAATTGTGCCACTTCACTGTTGTTGATCAAATTTATTACTTTACGCTTTTGCATGAGATTTCTGCTTTAATTATTAATTATTATCCACATCTTTGATATAATACTCTAGACTGCCTCCGTCCTCATTATTGTTTAACTGCCTTAACGATACCAGCGATCGCCAAAAGTGTCGCATTACTGATGTCACTGTTATCAATAAAGCTCATAAATTGCAGTGTTCATATATTTTTGTTCACAGCAAAACGAAAAAGTTTTCTTCATTTAAATTTTTAAATAATACCTGTGCTACAAAAGTTTTTCAAAATGTTTTGTAAGAAATTTATTTTTTTAAAAACAACCGAATCAATAAAATAACAATGTATTGTTAAAATATAAATTATTTTCCTTTAAAATTGATTAGAAAAAAAGATTCAGTAATGTGAATTATTTCTTCAAATTGTCTGGAACGGACAAATACAAATTCCATTATTTTGAATAAACACTTCAAAATATAATGAGACAAAATTGAGCACAATTTTTTTTTTGTAAACGGTTAAAATGATCATACCTTAACTATTTACGAGTACTTTTGTTGTATGAACATTGTATTAATTATAAAAATGTGTAAAAGAAACATATTGTTGCAATATTTTATCACATTTATAAAATAAAAATTAATAATAAAACTTAAGATTAGAATATATAATAAGCCTATAACATATTAGTGTTTTAATAATCTTCATGAAGGATTTTTTTATAATGAATTCAGTAGGGATATTTTAAACGAATAACGTAATGAAGAAGTTGATATTAATTTGCATTTCAACTCCTATTTGCTTAAACTTAAACTCAAAACGGTAGAAGTACATAGTATTGTGTAATGTAAATTTGGTCTCAACAATTGTCACATTGTTATAGAGTGATTCCAAGCAATAGTTGAGATTTCGTTGAAAATTACATATTCATGTTTTATGTTATTATGTAAATCTATCACGCGTTACTTTTCATAGGTTATTTGCTGAAAATTGATATTCCCGAATAGTAATCGGTAAACTGTGTACAATTTTAAATTATAGAAATAATAAATAATAATTATATTATTATTAATATCTTGAAGCGAGATTGAACGTACATCGTAACCACATGATCAATAATAATTGTTCAACGAAAACTCGAAAACTAAATTCTTGAATACCAGTAGCATACCTGTGAGGGGAGGCGATAGAGATATTCGCTCCTCTTTCATGGACTGTATAATACATGCGCAATGTTATTAATTGTATTTAGTGTTTTTACAATTTTTTTGATTTTTTTTTTTCGTGGAATAATCAATAATATGACGAATAGATTACCTAGTCAAACCCATGGATATTAAAATATTTTTATCTAATAATCGAACATGGTCAAAATCTCTGGTCTTATCATTTCGTTTTGACGATTTTATAAATTTAGATGGTATCTACCTCGTACATACTGTTTTTGAATTATTTATATTTATTATTCGCTCTATGCTTGTGCCATAGACCAGCGCTTCTCAACCGGGGATACGCAAAAAGACACTAGAGGATACTCGTGAAAAATGTAAAATTTGATGTATTTGAATTAATAAATTATTTATGAAATATTTGATAACGAGCATTGTATTTGTGGAAAAGGTTTTTTCGTTAAACATGTTCATTAAGAATAAGTATCGTAATATACTGACGAATTTAATTATCATCTGCGGAACCGGATTTCAATAATTAAGTGTTACCAAACGACCCCAAGGATAACTTTAAAATATAATTGTAAAATGAATACTATTTTTTTTTTCTTATGCATGGCGCATACTGATTAAAATAAATAAATACTTTTTAATTATTTATTTTCCATTAAAACGGGTTTTATAAATTCTTATAAATCCTATGTGAACACAGACAAACCCCTAGAGGATCTGAACGCACGCGACGATTATTGTCGTAAGAGCGGTGTGCGACGAAACGCGGCCGACGGCTGATGAGAAGGCAAAAACGGGTTTTCACTTACGGTTCAGTCGGATGTACGTGTGTTCGGTGGTGGCGGGTGGCGGTAGGTTCCTGGTGCCGGCGACGACGGTGGGCCGCGAGAGCCCGTTGGACGCGGAAGCGGTGGTGATGCTGTTGCTCGCCTGGCACGTCAACCGCGCCGTGCCCGTGGTCGCGTGCCGCTGGCCCATCACCGAGTGCCACCGGGTCAAGTTGGTCAACACCAGACGGTTCACCGTGGTCATACCGGTGACGGAGGGACGGCCGTTCTTGCGTTGTCCATGACTATTCTCGTTCTCATCGCCCGACAGACTGTACGTGGAGTCCAGCACGGCGTTCTCGTTGTACCACGTCAACCGCGGTCGCGGCCATCCTGCAAACACATACGCAAATACGTTAACGATATTCAGTCGTTCATTTTATTTCCTTTTTTCATTTTTTTTTTCGCGCCGCGCAAACATATCGTCGATCCCCGTGGGTGTATGGTTACGGGAAATCCGTGATCACGATAAACTGATCGGAAACAGGGCCGTAGCAAGGGGGTGACGAGAGGTGCCTATGCCCCGGGCGCGATCCTGGGAGAGTACGAAAATGAAAATCTTACATTTAATGTTAAAAATAACAATGGTCATTGTCGTATATTTTGTTTAAAAAAAACCATTAACATCCTTCATATTAATTAAAGCGATCATTGAAAATAATATCTAATAAGCATAATATTTTTAAATTAAAAACACATAAAGGCATATTTTGATTCGTTTATTTGATTTGCTATACACAAATATATTTAATAATTTTTCTGAATTTTGGGAGGGGGGTTTAACCACTAACCCCCAATTGTGTACGCACCTGGACATAAATCATCATTGTCTAACATTTATTTAGTTTGTTTATATTTTTAAACGAGTTTTAATGACTCAGCAATTCGATTCAACAACAGAGTTAAATACCGGGATTCACGCTATTTAAATAACTTGTAAATTAGAAGTGCAATTATTTCTAGTATTTATCAAAATACCAAAAGTATGCCAAAAGTTATCGACCACCTGTTTAAGAATATTTTTACCTCATACTGAACATTTATGTTTTATAGTTATCGTGTACATTCTCTGAATTCTTAATAAGCCGGTGTAACTAGATTAACTTAAAATGTAATACAACCTTCTAGTGTTATAAATAAGTTAAATTTGTAATCACAAAGTAGTAACATTATTTGAAAAAAAAAAAAAAAAAAAACTGAAGGTAGTTACAACTGTTACAAGAAAATGCAACTTGAAAGTAAAATGAAAATAATAAAATGACGAAAAACAAGGAGTAAATAATTTTCTTCGAGGTTTTTACAAAAATTATAAGTATATATTAACACTTATTTTTTGAGTGGTTTGTAAAGATGCTTGTATACTGTAAATTTTTTCTCGTAGAGTTACTCTAGCTAGAGCTCTCTACATTCAGTCTAGAAGTATACACAAGATTTAGAGCGCTTTAGCGATTGCTTCTCTAAGGCCGTGCCAAATGAATAGTGAACTCCGAAAAATAAAAAATAAAAAGAGTGGAGCAGGTGCAAATGAGACCGTGAAAAGCTCTTGAGAGTTATGCTCTCTCAATAACAACTAGATATCTAGTCTATCAAGTCTGCATAATGTACATGGCCGTAAACTTATCTAGGTAGATTTAATCTATGCGCTCTTATAGACTGCTCTATTTAGAGCACATTTTACTATAGTGTAAACACACTTCTGCAGTCTAGCTAGACCGATCTAACTTTAGCTGTATTTCTTTCTACAGTATACAAGCACCATAAAGATTACAAGTAGAATAACAATAAAGAAAATTGATCATTCATGTTGATTCCGTGTCTTTAAAGAATTTTCGAGAAGTTTGACGGTACGCATATTTTACTCCTATTATTTGATTGCACATCATATGTAAATGCTAACTCAAATTTAATATAATGGAATTGCGATATTATTAATATTATGATATTTTAATCATGTCCCGTCATTTTACATAACATTTTTTTTATTTCACTACAGTATAATGCAGTGGTTTTCAACCTTTTTAACAATGTAGCACACTTCATCTTCAATAAAATTTTCGCAGCACACCAATCCATATATTATGTGAACCATATTTTATACCTATATATATACTATTTACAGTCTACTCTATTAGAAGGTTATTTATTGTGAAATATATTAATACAATCGATCGATCGAGACGGCTGCGACGGGCATACTTACAATAAATAATATTATATGTATCTATGATTGGTTCGATCACTTTTCATCTCGAATATCAATAATAAGCTGGTAAATACATACTTACTCGTATAAAACAATATATAGATTTATCGCGGCACATTTAAAGGGCGCTTTCACGGTACACCAATGTGCCGCGGCACACCAGTTGGGAACCACTGGTATAATGCATGGTTTATACGTCTTTATAAATTATAAGTTATAACACGCATATCAGTTGCAGCCATAACAACTAAAAGCTTTTGTTAACGTGTTTAAATTACTTGTAACGAAAAATAAAATGGAACAACAAAAGTATATAAGCAAATTTTCCAGACAATATTTATTATTTTACAGGGTTTTATTTTTCTCAGGCAGTAAACAGAAGTTATTAATATTTCCCGGTATACCTACTATTTACAACGCGCGAATACGTTCCATTGAAAGTTAAAACTACACGATGAGCACCTATAGTTCTTTTAATTATTAAAGTAGGATCTGATCGAGAATCGTCACTGTTATTTTATTATAAATTTCATTAGTTGTAAAGTGCTAAAACTATTAGATACTTAAAGTTGGAAAGTTATAGGAATTTTAGAACTTTACTTTGACATATTTAGACAAATATGATATGCAATGCATATGGTAACGAACTTATGTAGACGTAGCTAGTGACGCAAAAAAATAAATAAATAAATAAATAAAAAACTTCGTTATAGACCAATAGTTATGGAAAATTTAACCTTTCTCACCTAATTTGTAGTACCAATACTGATAATAATATAAACATAATGACAGCAGAAAATTAATTCAAAAAACATATGCATTATTATGATTAAATAATTGTAAGCAAAATAAAATAAAAATACGCAGAAAATTTAACTTCACAATTCCTTGTTTACACCGCTGAATGTATAAGTCAACGAGGAAAATGATTAATAACGTATTAATTATTAAATCGGATTTCATATATTATTTATCCCAAACAGTTGTTTTTAAAGCTCTACACTTCCAACTTATATAGATGGACGTAAACCGATAATATTTTAATAAAACATATAGGAATAGCAAAAAATTTAGAAAGTTTTGCTTGAAGAATATTCAAGAGTAATTATAAATATCTAAAAATTACTTTTTCTATTGATAGCAACGATTATATATTTAATCGACAAACTTAGTACATAATATATTGAATGATAAATATATTTCCAGTTAATCCAGCATAAATTCTATCGATCTACCGCTGTTATTAATTAGCTAAAATACAAATAATAATACATTCGTTCCGTAAAGATTTTCGTGTTCATAATATTATGTGACATTTTGCGCCGTCTCGGGGGCGTTATTGTACAGATTGTCACATAAATATAAATAAAAAAATTTTTATCGTTTCAAAGAATTAAATAAAAATATAGTTTTAGTATTTCAACACAATCATCGCGGTTTAAGGAACTTTTTATTACACATAAAATATTTAGCTTGCAAAGTATTATGCGTATTACGAAATCGTATATAAGATATGAACTTATTTTAACGCACAAACAATTATTTAATATTTTAAAATATATTAATCAAGTATTAATTAAAACCAACACATTATACATGATTAATGTACGTTTAAATTTTTTTTTATGATGTACTATATTTATCATTTCGCTCAAAAATATTCGTACATAGTATAATATACAACTAAAATGTATTAACTTATACACTTTTTAATTTTTTTATTTGAATACTACATTATATTATCAAGTATGGTATTATAATAATATATTATTATCATTAAATTTAACATTGTAATTAGATAGTGAAATTTAACACACTTGGATAGTATAAATTAATTTCTTATTGTGCGTTTCCCAGACGAAACAAACGGCGTAATAAGCCACATCTAATTCACAATCATAAAACTGTACACGGTTTATAAGCAAATTCATTTGATATTTCATAAGTCTTGTGATAATTGGTTTTGAAAACATACAATAATAATTAAAAAAATAAATTTTATCACCATTATTATAATATGATATATGTGTCTAAAAATAAATTATCCGTGGGCCCTTTCTTAACCACCATAACAGACTCGTAACTAATTATCTTGTCAGTATAACACAATAGGTCGATAAGGGTATACCAGTGGCCGACAAAATATCAGATTATGTAAGCTAAATTATCTTTCATAAATAACAACTTTGGAGATAATGGAAAAATAAACCATATCCATATGCAATCGATGGTGAAAATAATTTTCCGAATTGACTATTGTTGAAAAACGTTGACACGGAGTATTAAATACCAGATGACTTATGAAAAAGCAATACAAATACAAATTGTTTTTGAACCACATCAACACAAAAAAAAAAAAAATCTTGAATTTAATATTTTAATTCCATTTTCGATGCTAATAATGTGTGTATGAATCACACATAATACATATTTATCAAAAAATATTCATAACAATAAATTTTGTCGAAAGATAAGATTCATTTGGCTTTTTATGAATCATCGACAAAATATCGCCGGTAAAATATCGCAACTAAAATATCACGAAACCATTGTATCGTATGGAATAAATATCGCCAGTATACATATCGTCAGCATGAAATATAGCAGTAATTTAATTATAAATAAATAATATATTTTAAGCATATAATATTGTTATATTGTAGAATTGATATAGGTATTAAAAAAAAAATTAATATATTATATATTTTACTCATTAAAATACCTTGAAGATAATCTTCAAAGTCTAAATAAAAAAGGTAAAAAGTGAATACGATTAGATAAGATAAAGTTAAATGCAATATACAGACTCGATAATATTATACGGCGGTATTATTTCTTTACGATATATTGGTTTCGCGATATTTTACCGGCGATATTTTGTCGGGGTACCGCTTTTTATACGTATTTACTTTTAATACTCTATTCGTTTCTCATACAGTAATTTAGAACGCTGTTAATGTTTTAATATTTACAGCAATTAAGTGTAATATCATTTTTAATATTATTTAGAGGTATATGATGTAATAAGATTAAATAATACCACAATCGAGGCAAGTACAATTATACTATAATACAGCATTAAAATAATTATTGACCTAAAAGATACACAAACATTTAGTAAGATAATGTATATATATTTTTTAATAAAATATAAATTTGTCTAATACCTCCTACATTATTTTTATAGAAAATATAACATTAATTTAAGTATTGATATCCTTTATTATAGTTCTATTTCTTTTCGATACAACTTGAGTTTACCTTGTGATGCATAAAAAAAATAATTTTTAGGATGAACAATTATAAATAAATTTATTATTTTTCAGCGTTTTTACTTTATAAAATGTAAGTACAAGATTTCTTGGGATTAATTCTTAAGCTCTTTGATCAGCACAACAAAATAAAATTATACTTGGGAAATTAAAACTGACCTAAATAAGCAAAGACTTTAACACAAACATGCACTGATATAATTCAATATATCTATGTAAAATACGAGATGCTATTTATAAAATATATAATTCCAAAAGCTGACTGTATTTATTGGCATATAATTTTTCTTTCTAGCTTAGGATCTTTGAAATTTCAAACAATTTTTTTCGGAAAAAATGTTGCATAATTTATTTATTTATTTATTTTTTGTTAAATGTTGTATGAAAAATGATGAAAAACTGTATTAAATTTAAACTACGCAACGAGAATAGGGTATTTTCTTTAAAATTGGCTAGCCTCAGTATTAAGGATTATCGAGATAAATAATTAATTATCCTTCATCTTGTCTAGATAGTCGAAGAAATAGTTATTCGTTGTAGTATCTTAGATGAATAAAAATGTTATCTAAACGAATTTATTTAGATAAATGAAATTTTATTGATTATTTTTTACTCATAATAATAAAATAACCAAGAATCACAGTAGTCTAATCTGCAATAACAATAAATTGTAAATAAACAGAAAAAAAATTAAATATAATTATTTCATCCTACAGTTAAAAATGTTATTTTACCCCCTAATTACTTATCGTTGACAAATATCACTACTCAGTAGATACTCAGATATACACAATGTCATGGTGTATAGATATCTATTTCTGTATAATATTGTCACTATATCTATATTATATACATACCCGTATAAACATATAGTTAACAAAAATAAATGAAAACAGTTTTCAACTAGATATTTATTGTTTTACCTTTTACCTTTATCTTAGACTAAGTTTTACCGACTATATTTTATCTTTATCTAAATACATTTTAAGTTATCTGTGCCCAACATTGGCTATCCTCTTCGCAAGTCGCAATACGCCAGCGTAAGTAATTCTTATTTCGTATCTACCTATTCGATATACCACACACGAAAGTTCGCAAATCTGCATTTTCCTTATGAATCAGATCGAGTTCTGCGTGTTATCAATCACTCGTTTATTGAACATGTGAATGTTGCGTAAACTGCGTTCCCCTTTAAGACTATTTACCTCCGTTAACGATGCACACCAATGTGACTGTTGGAGTGCCCTCGTCGATAACGATGTTTTCCGAATCTCGTTGATAATTTTCTGGACTGTTCCCTTCAACTGTATTTTTCTGTTCGAAGTAAATTTTCGGCCGACCCGGAGCGACTGTAAAAAACACATGATACGAAAATATAAGTAATGAAAATAGAAAATCCAATTTTGAATATAAGTAGGTACAGAGAAAATATAGAAAATTTTAATTTCAAAATTTTCAATAAAAAATAAATTGATTTACAAGTACGAATGTTAACATTAAATGTATATATATAATTATAATACCATGAATATTAATAAATATATTTGCACTATATAATATTCAATATGTAAAAATATTTTTGACAGTTTTAATATTCTAAATTATCCTTTCGCGTGCCATAATAATGCGTAAAATATTAATTTTTAGTGAGGTAACCAAATATTTTTTTTTTTTGGGAAAAATATTTAAGGTTAACAAAATAATTTTTTCTCATCATATATTTATTTCAATACTGATAATAGAAATTAAAATTTTATAAATATTAATTTTTATTAAATTATTAATGTAAATACATTTTTCGTTTTGACGTTCTTGCAAATTCATCTATGACATTATTGATACCCACGTCAATATGAATACTATGAATAAGACTAAACCATTCATATATATTTGTTCAAAAGAATTTCTCAAATAAGTTTTTAGACGACGGAGAGTTGAAAACGATGGTGGTTTTGTGACGGTAGACACTGGAAGTGTTATTATTATGAATATTTGCAGAAGTTTGGGTAATATTAGTTAAGCGTCAGGACTGGTTTGGAAGTATACTTCAATACCTAGCATATATCCTCTTGAATTCAGACACTGATGAAGTTGAATATTTAGTATACCACAAGTCCACAATTCTAATTTTACATTTAATATGTGATCATTTAAATTTGATTAGGTGTATTCATCAATTATTTTTTTATGTTTTGATATGTTTTTACTAATTATTTAAATTTACGGTGAATATTTCTAAATAATGATATATGTTATATTTTTCAACAAAATGAGAAATATTACTTAAAAATACTGTTATGAAAAACGCACTCAAAATTGGTAAATAGATTGAAAATCGTAAAAAATCAATACTCCAATCGGTGTTTAATTATTATTGAACGGCGGTCATCAAAACCGCACACTTACCGTTCATAACCGCACATATTTATTCTATTGTTAAAAGGAGAAATTTGAAAATTCGATAATTTAAAACCGCACACATTTGGTTAATAGTTCCTTTCTCTTTGCATACTTTGCATGTACAGTTTACGTTCCCGGTTTCGTATGAGTCCTATACAAAATCTTTTTTTATTCTGGGACCTACTTGGGGTAATGTTACATAGCAAATCGGGGGTTATTTTCGTTTTTAACTGTCCGAGCGAGCGAGTGATCCCGTTCGATCTCGAGGTGCACTCATGTTATTTTAGACAAATGTATACGTAATTGATATATATAAATTTGTGCGGCATTGAACGGTTTAATTTGGCGAAATTATGTGGGATTAAGATATAAAAGTGTGCGGTTTTGAACGACGATCTATTTTTGAAAGTGTGCGGTTATGAACGACGCCCTTATTGAACACGTATCATGCAATATGGGTAAGCGGTGTCACCGTAGTGCTATATGGCAATATATAGAACAAGTCTAACCTATGCGTATTGCGATCAGAGGCAGAGCTAGGGGGACGAAGACGGGGATTCATCCCCGAGCGTAACATTTTTGAGGGTGTAATTTTTGTAGTATATTATATATTATTGTCTACTAGTTTGATATTTTTAACTTTGTCATTGATAATGTGTTTAAAGCTCAATAAGTATGATTGTATGCTGATTATAAGAAAATAACTATGGGGAAGGGTATTTGATTCTTGGTCTATGATATGAAGTTAATTTTAAAATTTTCCCTGGACATAAACATTTCTAATTTCGCCTTTGATTGCAGTGCGATTGAATTTGCATCTAATCAGAATGTTAAATTAAAAAATAAACTTGTAACATTTCTTATTTAGTTCGTACATTACAATGGTGACCATCAAGCACCGCGACGATCCATCATCGAATTGTATCTTGGTTAAGGGGTAATAATTTTTATCTAAAAGCGATTTTATTCGATAACAGTAATTAAATGTTAACGATAAGCATACTAGGATTTGAGTTCGGTTATTATTTGTAGTTTTTTTATAAATATTTTTTCTAATTTGTACATGTTTGATATTATTATTATTCTTCAAATATTTAGCTACAGTTTTCGAGATTATAACCAACAAACTACAGCCCCCTTCTTCAGGATACGCCGAAGTAAATATTTATGTTTAATTTACTGAATGTATAACACTTGAAAAAATTGTAGTTTTCTCGGTATCTGACATAGATTTTAAAATCAAAATTTACTCAAAATACGTATCATAATAAAACTAAAATTATATAATAAACTATTAGATTCAATAAAATTGTAAATATAAACTCAGCTTGAAATTTCTTACGTATTTATATTATTTTAAAATTAATTTCCGAAGGAAAAGATGTAATAATTACAATTATTGTTAAATAAATAACAAAATGCAGTAGACGAAAACAATTTAAATTTGTATGAAAATTGTACTAGAAAATAAAATATGATCATAACAACGACACAACAATTGCAATATTAACTATTACCTAAACATTCACAAAATAAAAATGCTATTCTTATTTGATTTTTAAATAATTTTTGGATATTATACGTCAGAACTTTTTGTAAAATTATTTATTATTTTATTTTAATTTATATCGAAAATATTTTAGGTTTAAAAAACCATTAGTGAAAATATGTGCGTTTAGATATCAAATTATAACATCATTTAATAGGAACCTACCACGTTAGAATTGATTACAAATGATCTTGTCCTATTTACATGTAATCAACCAAAGTCTGTCAATATTGAAATTTGATTAATTATTAGTAAACGAACCAGATAATAATGCTTCACTCATATTTATAGGCGATACCCAATCAGTTTAAAACAAACTTATTATTTATCTAAATTACACGAAGTTGAAGTACTAACTTTCATATTTTGTTTGAAACTATGATTTATGAATGATTTGTATTTAAAAATTCAGTAATTAGCACGTTTAATGACTTGTAAGCTTGTAAAGTATCTGGTCGAGACTTCGACCCCTAGAGCTAAGTATGTCAATGACAGATGTTTCCTTAAAACTTTAGTAACAAACGATCCAACGTGAAAAGTGTTAAGCTCTTAAAAGTAATTATTTTCATCAGAGAATAAGTTTAAATAAAACTAATGATTACTTCCTCATATCCATATCAACCTTTTAAGTTTAAATCTAAAACATATTAAACAATCTTAAATCAAGATAACTTGACCATATTATGATAGCTGATAGATTAACTACATAGTGCATACATTTATAGTGTATTTTCACTAAATACATTTTACTTATTAAATATACATACTTACACGTTGCATTTGAATAACATTATTTTATCTATTTAATAAAAAAAAATAAAAATAAAAAAATACAGAAACATCTGAAATATTATTTTATCTTTCTTCTCTTAAATTCTAAAGGGAGAGAAGAATCTATTGGTTTTACAATAGCAGTTTTTCTTTTTTTTTTGGTAAACACTTTTTCGGAAAGGAGTCCTCTAAAAGTTTCACATAACCACTCTATCGATTGGAAATTGAACACAGATGGTACTTAAAGTATGTCATTTTTGGACCACCCTAGTAGTCTGAAAATTGTGAAAAACTATCGAGAAACTAAAGAAAAACTTACAAAATCACAACAAACTTATTTTGAACAAAATGTTTTTTTGTTATTTTGATACTAAAATAATTATGAAACAATAAACCAACATTTTAAAGGTTAAGCTAGATGACTAATATTTATTCTCAAATTTTTCAGTAGTAATCAAATCAATTTTCATTATTAAATAAATTTTCAAAATATTGATCATTTTTATTGTTTTACAAACATTTTTAATCGGTGTCGTACAATATATGCATACCTTTCAGAAAATTTTTTAATTCTTATTTATTATTAAATTTAATGCATTCTACACAATATTTTTTGTATACCTACTAGGTTAAAATATTTAAATTTGAAATTTCCATTAAAATGAATCTAAAAATAAATAACAATTATAATAATATTTTGTTTTAATTTAATGGCATTTCAAATGTTATGCATTAAGAGTCAGAATTTTTAAATATAGTATAATAGCTTAAACAAATCTCATAATAATACGTTTTGGAGTCGATTCATTATATATAAATATATATGTATAAAGTAAATCGATTTTAACTATAAATCGTTTTTTGACTTCGATGATTTATCATTGTATTCAAATATATAATAATGTAATGCTATCTTACGCTAAGTTAATGTAATTGAGATCTGACACCTTATCAGTTCTTGTACGTCTTGAATAAATATAGTGTTATAAATACAACAGTTTCATTTAGAACTGCCAATATCGTATTTTTAGTTTTCATTTTAATTAATAATTTTTCAAAACTTTTTCTCTTGATTATTTGTAGTAATATTTAGAGTAAAATATACATCGTACTAATACATTTTTAGTAAACTAAATTCAAATGGGGACCGTCAATCGAACGCGTCAAAACTTTTTCAGGTATAACGTGATACAGATACTTGCATAACCAATATTAACAAGCAATCATTGACTCAATATTTGCCTTTAATTTATTTTTTCGTGGCTTCTCATTTTTCATTATTTTGGTGTAAAAAAAAATAAAAAATGTATAGATAAAAATAAAAATTAATTATGTGAAACATAAATTGAACTCAATTCTCGGTATGAACAGCCATGTTTATAATATACAATCATCAAGTCAATTCATCATCTGGTAATCAGTTATCGCTAACATAACACAATTCTTCGAGTCGTCGGATTTCTTTTTCTGATCATTTTTTTATGAATTTAATATTGTTTTAAATTTATCGTATAACCTTTGTTGTTTCATAAGAGCTGAAATGTACCCTCTGAGTTCCAACTCGTGTTAATTAAAACTATACGAAGTACATATAACAACATATCCAATAATAATAATATCAAAGACTGGTCAAATTAAATTACTACGCCTTGCGTTTCGTCCATTACCTATGACTGTTAGGTTGACTAGACGGTTTCGAGTGGGCGCTTTTAGGAAGTCAATTCTGCATCTGTATATCCCGGTATCGGTGGCCATGGCTCTGTCCACTGTCAGATGATCAACTAAATCCTGGTCGAACTTCTGTAATTCACTGTTGCTCGTGTGAAAGTAGGCTCGGTCACCGAACCCCAAAGGCGATGACCACCATCTCGGTGGATTTTGTATACTTGCCGATAACTGTCTCGTGTCGTACCTGCGAAACGAAATAAAGTAAAAATATTGAATATAAGCAAATAATTAATATTAATTGTACTGAAAATTCCATAAATAATGAAGTTCTTTTTATGGTATGGCAGTTTTCTTTCCTATGGAGGTATGCGTATTGTAATACGTTAGAAATAGTTACTAATAGATATCATTCTATCCCCGTAAAATAAACAAATAAGCAATAGATAAAAACAATTAGAATAAACACCGATTATCCTTAAAATTTTAGTAATTTTTTTTTCTTTAAATAAGTGTTGCAAATTTTGAAATATAATTTGGCTAGAGCATATTTGAGTATACAGTACAAAAACCATTTGGTTATTGTTCAGTGTATTTTAGAGAATTATTCATAATTTAATTTATATAATGAACTTAGCTTAAGAATTTTAAGTATTTACCACCATCCCGGTATTAATAAAATATTTACAAAAGAATATAACACAACCAACACTAATATAACTTAAATCTTAAAAATCCAATTGAGAGTGAATAAATTTCACTTTGGTTTGCAATTGAAAATATCAAGTAAAAATATGTATACGATAGTTAAAAGCATAATAATAATATAATGATACATTAACGTTCTCGTTGTTAGTTTTGATAGTTTCTAAATAATTTATAAATAAATATATTTCTAAGAAATATTTTCAAAAAACGGAATAACTAGTGCCTACATCATATATTTGGTCAGTAAACATTGTACTAAAAATCATACATGATGTAATGATATCTCTAATAAATAATAATAAAATTTAACGTCCCAGCTTAATTCAGTGAATAAAGAAATCTAATAGACAAATATATTTATTAATAAATATTACCACCATGATCATGACCAGGCGTAACAAGCTTTTCCGATGCGAACAAACTTTCTCGAATATGATATATCTACACTATAGATATTGTATATCTTTAATAAGTACAATGTACTGCCTAGGTACATATTGAATTCTGCATTTCCGTAATAACTATAATTAATAAACTGTTCAATGCATGATTGCAGTATATTATTGACAGCTTATTTACAGTGACACAATTTTATAAGTACAAAATGAATAAACTGATTTAACAAAATAGGTGCTGCAGTAACGAGTAATGACAACACCAATTATAAATTAACAAAAAAAAACTAGAGAACTGTAAAAGACAAATTATATATATATATATATATATATTTATCACGAAATATGATTTATTTTATAAATTCAGTATGAAATGTTTACTACAATATATTTAATAAAATCATTTTGTTCAATAAAAAAAAAAAAAGTCTTTATTTCTATCTTTTCACGAGGTGAATCGTTTTTAAAATAAATTTTCTATGCATGTGTTTCATAATTAGGTCTATTCGATTTGATTAAATATGCTTTTATAGAATAAACTATATGGTATATTACAGGAAATAAGCCATAATTTCGATGTCCTATACTTAGATAAGAAATTGTTTATTAGATAACGAGAAAAAATTGAATAATCACTACTTTTCAGTAATAAAAATGCAATTAACATTAAGTTTATAATTAAAACCGAAGTTCGAAAGAGTCAACTTTTATATGCAGACTTGTGTTGTCGTAAAATATGCATGTGTATGTGTAATGACTTATTATTAATGTGAATTTTTAAGTGATGATAAATCGGTTCTGAGAAAATCTGGGGTTACCGAAAAATAACCAAAAAGTTATTAAAACTCATGTACTTAAGTTTTAAATTTTCCGTCTTTTCATAAGTAAGTGGACAGTATTTACAGAAATTTGAAGGATCTTCTTTGTGTAATGTATTTGATTTACGAATCATTAATTGAACCTCAGGATAATATTAAATAAATAATATAAATCTATCAAGCTTTCCAATAATTTCTCTCGCATTACTTGAAACTATACGAGTAACTATTTTGCTAAAAATTAAAATAAATTACATTTAACACATTTTCACAGTAAAAAATGTGTTGATATGTATATTGTATATGTATATGTTGATTGGTCTAGAATTATCGTTATAATAATTAATATTCAAATATAAAAAAATAAATTAATAATCAGAGTCTATGGTAGATTATCTGGGACATTTTTCCTTGGCCCTGCACATATTCTAGGGCACTAAACTTACGCCATGAAAATTGCCAAACAGTTAAATTGAAAATACATATATCGAAGAGCAAAAGCTGGAACTAGTATTTATTACATTTCGTACAAATTCTTTATAATAAAATATTTTATGAAGGTAATAAAGCTTAAAAATCCGTCTTAGTTAACAATAGTAGTATGCTAAAGGTATCTTCTCGTACGCCCGTAGTCAGTGGAATATTTCGTTTTATTTTTATTCGTTATCCATTTGTACATCGTCGTCGTAAGATACCTACAACAACAATTAGTACAATCATTTCACTTGATTTTTATCATATTTCGACGAAAGACTGCTGCTGTCACCTTATTGAAAAATTTCATAATATTCTATTAAGGTGTGAATAATTAACAATTAGTATTATAATTGAAATTATTTCATTATTTTATGTATAATTGGATTTGCCTGTTGTGCATTTTTTTTCTATTTTTATGTCTCTGTACACGATCTCAACCAAGTCTCCAGTTATCATAATCACGTAAGATTTCTGATTACTTAGTTATACTTATGGGATGTCAGTTTATAATTTTTCCAACATTTTTTTTAATAATTACAAAATACTGTTAAAAAATTAGTTAAAAAACCGGCAACATTCACGTCATTAGGACGACTTTCAATTCGAAAAAATAATATTTTTATTCTCATCATGTATCAAAAAATAATAATCACATACACTTTTCATAGGTATTTGAAAGTTATATATTTTTTAAAAAATTTTTACGTAAAATGTCAATAAAATTATTATGGTTTGACAAAAAGTCTTGAAAAAGTAATAAAAAGTTTCTCATATATCTCCTATTTGTTGAATTAACAAAAAATATATATATATATATATAAGCTTATAAATATTAAATTTTGACAAAACAAGAGAAACACGAAAATTCACTATATAAATGGTGTCTTTAAGATAAGCGGTGGACAACGGTCCAAAATGTCAATGGTAACATTATAACTTAAAATATAATTATAACCTTATTATTACGTTTTTTTACTTGTATTTTTAAGCAAAATTATAAATTAGTAATTATTATTATTCATTACTTGAATAGCTATTATTTAAAAACATTAAAATGGAATACAGTATAAAATAAAACAACAACTTTTAATAATATAACGTCAATTGCTACCAACCGGCTACTAATAGTACAATACACGACTTTTGTCTTTTACCAATCATATTAGTTAAAAATTATATTTAATAAAATAGTAATTGGGTTTTAACTTAATATAGGCACAAAATAATAATACTAGTTAATCGATAAATTGATATTTTATAGGATTGTTGACTAGTTCTGGTTATTATTGAAATTAAGGAAAAAAGGTCAAGAAACGGAACAAGTTTAAGAAATATGAGTCAATAAAGGTAAAAAGAGAAATTGGGATACCATGAATAAATTTTAGATCATATCTAAAAATGAAGATATTACTAAAAATCCAAAAATTTTAAATCCTTTGAATTTAATTAACATACCATATATTATAAATATTGATAAAACTTCGACTGAAAACATTAATGTAGAGAATAAATATAAGTTTAGGTATTGAAAAAATATTGTTGATAATGATGACTACTTAAAGAATCAATTATATATATGGAGTGACTTTATCATTTATATATAATAATAAAACATTAAAATAGTACATATTATTTATATTTAAATTATTACTAAAAATGTCTCTTTATAGAGTAAAATACCTAACATTATAAAAATTATTAATATATATATATACAGTGACGTAGTTACGGGGAAGGTTAAGGGGTTTCCACCCCTCCCCACAGATTTCTTTTTAATGATATTTGATTATTATTTATTAATATTTTCATATTATAGTAAAATATTTTGATTTTACTAAGATTAGGTATATATTAAAAATTGAGAAACAAAATAATTTTCATTAAATACGGGACATAATAATAATACCATTTTAAATGTAATATTATTACATATGACCTCGTTTTAAGATATACTAAAAACACTTAAAATCTTACTCTTAAACACCCCCTCCCCAGAAAAAAATTGTATCTACGCCACTGTATATATATATATAAAAAACATTAGAAAATATTCTAATATAGGAAACCCATTAAAAAAAAGTTAAGGCAAAATTATTTTATCCAAGGCCCTGCAAAATCTAGGGTCAGCCCTGTTGATAATAATCGAAACAATGAATCAAATACTTGAATGTCAATACAATTAATATTATTATTAATATTTAATGTTATGTAGTTTAGTGACATAATTTAATTGTTTTCTATAACAGTATACTAAAAACTTAAACGTTCACTAATTATTGACAGAGTAGGCCGCTTTAAAAGGACAGTCAAAGGGTTCGGTGATCAAATAAAGCTCAGTAAACACGCTTGTAATAAAGTTAATGATTACATTTAGGATTTAACTGACGTTTTAACATAATACCAAGATGCCGTAAGTACAATAAAACATGTTACACATAACATTGCAAACATTTTTTGATTAAATATTTATATGAATGTAATAAGTGAGTACATAAATTGTAAATATCAATTTAAACGTAAAAAGAGTATTAAAAATACGAGTACATTTAAAAATCATACTTCTCAAATAACATTGTTAGCATACATATGACTCCGACTAAATAAACATTTTTCATTACTCGGCTTCTGCAAGAATTTATAGTATTTTATTTCACCGCATTAATTCGAAAATAAAAACATAACTATTTGTAAAGGATATTAAAGTCAATAAACGTTCATTGCACCAGACCTAAAAAAACTCTCTTCACCCGTTTTTGATGTAATTGATCCCATTAAATCATAATTATTCAAATACAATACAGCACAAGGATCAATAGAAATTTTCTAAAATAGAAATAATCTTTTTTCCG